TGTAAACACACAGACCATCACAAGAGCTATACAAACAATGCATGCTGCCTGGCACAAACCCATCCCCCCCCCCCCATGCACAAATAGTCGGAATCTCACACACGGACCCACTGTTGATATGCCCACGGACACACACACACACACACACACACTGACACACACTGACACACACGCACACTGACACACACAATGCAGCCAACACCAGCACAGACAGAAACACACACACTTCTCAAACACATCTACACCCAAGAGATAAGGCATGCCCACCTCAGGACTCACACACATATCAACACGAAACAGACACCCACGGACTCACACAGACCAACACACCGGAAACACGCCTACTTGCCTGCCAACTCTTAGACCCCGGACACACGTCAATCAGGCACACACAGACACATGTCACCCGACCCAGACGCATCCCCACACGTTCCGGCCACGACACACAGACACGACAGCAGAAGAGAACATCAACCCACCCTCCTTCCCTCACCTCACAACGCCATCACCAACTGTCAGTCCCGGACACACACCACACACACCAGCCAACTCTAATCCCACACCGCCCTGGCAGCACGCACACCTAAAGCTCCCACAGAAAACAGTGGTCTCACGTGACCGACATAAACACTACACACACGCAGCCCACATGACACACATGAGCCAGCCGATCGCGGAGACAAACCCCTCAGACCCAACACACACACACACACACACACACACACACAGGCTCAGACAAGCCCCATGCAGGAGGCTGCCAGCAACACCCACTGACTGCACTGCACAGACCCCACAGAGACGCGGTCCTCAATTCCCAGACACCGATGCCAGACATACAAGCCAAACAGAGACGGAGACAACCCCCCACCACACACACACACACACACACACACACGCACACACACACCATGCAGAACTCACAGACACCTGGACGGCAAGCAGGCACCACATTCAGCAGGCACTCATCACAAACATGCCCGGGAGATAGACACAGTCACAGGCAGTCCACACAGGCAAGACACAGGAGCACACACAAACAACACAGCGGGCAGGACACGCAGAGAAGCACACAGACACAGCTCACTCAAAACAACACGCAACAACCTAGCACGCCCAACCACACGGACCCAGAGAATCCCCCCCAAACAGCATCCACAGACAACTCTCACTCACAGAGCACACACACGGGTACCCCAATAAACAGAGCCCACCCCTCAGGCAGGGCAGACACAGACAGCACTCCACACAAACACACAGGCGGGGGACTCACGCACACACCCCGAGCGGCCACAGCCCCAACATTCCCCCGGACGGACGGACGGACACCACCACTCCCCGCGGACCCCAGCAACAAACTCGGAGCCAGACACACGCACACACCCAGGCGAGACACCTGCAGATCCACAACCCCGCACACGCGCGCTCCCACGGCGGGGCCAGACGCCCCCCTGCGCTGTCACAGCCCCCCAACCCCGCCGCCGCCACGTGCGCCCGCCCCGCCCGCCAGGCGAGCGCGGGGCCAATAACCGGCTGTTGCTGGGGCGCAGCCCCCGCCCGCAGGAGCCGCAGACTCCGCGGCCGCAAGCCGCCCCCTGTCGCCGCCCCCAGCGGGTGCGCGCCCGGGGTGTGGCCGCCCCTCCATTCCGTACCCCCACCCCCACCCCTCCCGGACTGCGGACTGCGGGGGACCGGGCAGTCGGGGTCGACTCACTTCCCCGGGGCCGCACTGACCGCCAGGGGGCGCTGTCGAGCCCGCACCCCATTGTTTGTAAACAAACCCGCCAGACCGCTTAGGCACCTGCGCTCCTGGACCTTGGTGCCTCCAGCCCAGCGATCCCAGCCCAGCCCAGCCCAGCCCAGCCCAGCCCAGAGTCCCTGGTGGGGGTAGAGGGTGGGGAGAGAGGGAGGCAGGCGGTGGGGCTGCAGTGCGCCCCCAGTGCTCTCCTCGTGCACTCCCGCCACCTCCTCCAGGGAGCCCACCCGGCCTGGCCAATCGCGGCCCGCGGGACTCGAGGTGAACACACTCACCCCGGGGGCATGAACACGCCAGAGGGGGCGGTGATGGGGGCGGGCGGCTTCCTTCAGGAGGGCGCGCCCGCGAAGCGCCGCTCCCTGCGGCGGCGGCTGCTGCTGCTGCTGCTCTAACTGCAGTGGCTGCTGCTGTCGCTGTCGCCGCCGCTGCTCGAGCCGCAGGCGCGTCCCCGTCGTGGCCGCCGCTGCCGATCCTGTTGCTGCGGCCGCCAGGCGCCCGCTCGCATGTGGCTCGCGCCGCGTCTCATGCTGCCCGGCGGATCCTGGGCCGCTCGGCTGCTCCCGCCCCGCCCCGCC